CAAACACGTATAATAGCATACACACGTACGCACACACATACACAAATACACACACATGCGTATACACACAAGCATACGCACACACAAACATGGACACACACACAGCCATAAAATTAACAGTTTGATGTACCGCAAAATATGCATTCTGTGAGTACATTGATAGAAAGAGTAGCGTAGAAAAGAAAAAAATTGCCGTTGTTTATTAAGACCAGTAACCTCAAAGAAAATACATTTTGCTCAGGAAACAAGAGACAAAAGCTTTGAACTGAAAGTTTTAAAGCCTTAATTTGAATTTTGACACACTAAGAATCCATCTGTTTACGTAAATTGTAGCTCTAGAAAAGTTTCTTAAAGACTTAATGATCATCTTTGAGCGATAAAATGATCAGAATCTCATTTTACCCAAAGAGCAGGTGGGCCATTATGTACAAGGGAGAGCACAGTTGAACTGCATGCTGATTAGGACGACAAACAGTTTGGCGGGTCACATGATGTCAGTCCGTTTACTGTTTGTCATTACATTTTAAAGTGATGTTACGGCTGAAAAAAGGAAAGATGGGTCATCGATTTAGCTCGCTCTGTGTCTTGTTTTCCAGCTCCTCTTTTTTTTCTTTAGAGCACATTTCCGGCACGCTGCGGGCCAGTTTTAGACCCGTGTATAGGGCAGGATGTCCCAACATGTACTCCGCTCGAAGACGAATTTTCAAGGAGCAAGAAGATATTATGTGAACCGGCGTTCGTACAGATCATTCATTGATCCCGCAAATGTTAGAAATAAATTTAATAATCCCGGCCTTGTGTTATGAAACGCGGCCGTAAGCTTTTGGATTGTTGTTAAAATTGGTTCTCTTTGCAACCTCTAGATCTAATGGTTGCCTATTCTTTACCGAGCTTGATTCATTTTTAAGCGAACCACGAGGCACGTCCAGAGAGCTGTAAACAACCTTTTAGACAACGTTATACCAGGATTCGGAATTAAAATATATCAGGCGGTGGATACGTTTAACTGCTGAAATCACCACTGTGTTTGCTGTGGTTTAATGCTGGCTGGTAAATGTATCTTTTCGCTCTCTACGTCTCCTTCTCTGTCCTGATTACATTGATTTTTGCTTAAAGCAAACTAAGCGTAAAGATGTCCAGGGAGGAAGTGGGATCACTGGCGTCGTCCGTCTAGGCATCAGAGCTAGGGGGAAATAAAATCGAGAGAAGTAAATAAATATAGGGATTGAACTGTCTGAGCCCATGATGATCTTAAAGAATTGTAGAGCCACTAACAGATTATCGTGTCGACCCACGAGAGACATGCTGAATAAAATGAGTTGAAAATTTCACCTCTGATCCCTTCATTCTGGTTGAACGTTTTCTGATCAAAATATTCAGTTTGCCACCTGAATACAACTGTAGTTGTTATCTAATGATCAATATAGCCAGAGTAGAGGGAGGGGGGGGGTTTCTGGAGAAGAATATTGATTTTAAGTTCATTTTCTGTTTATTGAGGTCTCACTCGTCTAGATAGTAGGTGGTTTTATGTTTTCTGTGTTATGGGTTTTCTTCATGGGCTGAGAAAATCCATGTCTCATTTTTCCAAACTGAAAAGTTTATCCCGTACCATTAGCCTATTTGATCATTATCTTCTGTCTTTTCCATAAGTGTTGGTAGGTGCGTAGTGCATATCACCGCCTTGACTATCACAACTTGACCCATCTTGGGGCAACGTTTATGGTCTCCCTCATGTTTGATGGATTACTTTCAAGTACTGAATGAAATCTCTTTAATTTTTATTATCAAACACCTCGTCTCAGAAGTATGGAATGGAAAATCATTTGCATCTTAAGCATAACCACATCGCTGTATCTTCTATTTTCCATAGCTCTAAAGAAGGCTATCCTATCTTTTAGGAATAGAAATCTATGGAGGCCTCGTTGTATGAAAGGAATCAATTTACCAAACGTAATGGTATCCGAGAGAAAGTCTTTCACCCTGGCCAAATCATATCTCAAACTGCCACACATGACCCAATCCTTAATCGCACGAGTGTCTGTGTGTATACAAACATGTATGAATGAGTGCATGTATGAATGTGTGTGAGTGTATGTGAGTGTGATTGTGTGTGTGTATGTGTGTGTGTGTGTCTGTGTGTGTGTGTGCGTGAGAGAGAGGGAGAGACAGAGAGAGAGATACAGAGAGTGTGTGTGTGTGTGTGTGTTTGTTTGTGTGTGTGTGTGTGTGTGTGTGTGTGTTTGTGTGTGTGTTTGCATGTGTGTGTCTGTGAGTGTGTGTGGTTATGTGTTTATAGATGTGGTTATGCGTGAGTGTATGTATTGTGTGTATGTGTGTCTGTGCGTGTATGTGTCTCTGTGTGTGTGCGTGTGTTTGCATGTGTTTGCATGTGTTTGCGCGCGCGCTGTGTGTGTGTGTGTATGTGTGTGTGTGTGTGTGTGTGTGTGAGTGTGTGAGTGTGTGTGTGTGCGTGTGTGTGTGTGTGTGTGTGAGTGGTGTGTCTTAATGTGTGGGTGTTAGAGACAGCCGTGAGGAGTGATTTTCCCTTCCAATCCAAGATAATAATATTATCATTTAATTCCACGTCACCGGATGATGGCCTTCTTATAAATAATAATCTTCGTGCAAAGTGTCTGCTGTCTGTGCCCTTTTTATTTTTAAATCTAGCCAGCATATTTTAATTTTCTCGTTCACTTTTGACGTTCTGATTCCAACATTAAAAGGATCATTTTTCCGCCAAAGCTTTAAATGCCGTTTTTATCAGTGTTCTTTTTTTGGTCTTTTATTCTTAATCCGCCCTTTTCGTCAAAATCTTTACAATCCTTTACACTTCACCTGTTTGCTCTATTTTCTCCCCCTTTCTCTCTTCCCCTCTCTCTCTTTCTCTCTCACCCCCTTCTCTCTCTCTCTCTCTCTCTCTCTCTCTCTCTCTTTCTCTCTCTCTCTCTCTCTCACACACACACACACACACACACACACACACACTCTCTCTCTCTCTCTCTCTTTCTCTCTCTCTCGCTATCTCTCTCTCGCTCTCATACACTTTCTCTCTCAGTCTCTTTTTCTTTCTCGTTTCCAATTATCACCACCACCACACACAAACATAGTATCCATGACTAAATTCGTACACATAACATGGCACTCGTTAGAATGTACACAACAAACATAACTAATGCTTTATGATCACGTCAAAATAACACATAATCGAGTGTCAGCAAAAGGCAACAAAACTAACAAACAAACAAAAATAAAATAAAAAGGAGGAAAAACAACCTTTCATTTTCCTAACGTGTGGTCGTGAATATTTTTCAATTGAGTCAACAGGTGAACAATTACAACTATTGTTTTCAATTTAGGTTCTATCTGAACCGTGGAAGTACCCTTCTAGCAACATTTTCCTATACCAGCCTTAAAACCCCAGACCCCCCCCCACGTACATGCATTCACCAGTCTATGTCCTTCCCCCATGCTTCATAATCACTTTCCACCCTAATTATTCACGTTCAAGTGAATGTGGAATGTGGGTAATGTTTCAGAAAGTTAGTAAGTAGGCATTTCGCCAAGTTTTCCAGTGACTTCACTTTTCATTCCCACTGGATATAAGTGTCTTGTTTGAGAATAAAATGCTTAATTAATGCTGTCTCTGCTTAGCAGCCAGCATAGTGTTTGTTGATGCATGCGTCTGCCCGCCCCAAGCCCCAATTGTCAATGTTTTCCAAGACACGAAGAGAGTGAGCGTTATGCACAGTCATTGATGCGCACATCATTAAAATTTTAATTTTTAAGTCATCCAAGATTATATCTGCTGGGCTGTTTCGAATCACCAAAGTGATATTCTTAAGAATGTGTTATTTCAGTACAAAAAAACTTCAGAATGAGAAAGTTCTAGATTCTATCTGAACAGTATCAATCTACTTTTAAGAAATTCGACGTAAAAAATTGAGTTTCATAGCATTTCAAGCTTTTCTTATGCAATTCTTTGAATATCTTGATAAAGACTGAATGATTTTACAACTGTGATAGAGCAGAGGGAACATTAGGTTTTTGACCTCATAGTCTTAAAAAGCTCAAAGCGGTAAAAAAATATCCGATAGAACTTCGTACTTCTGATGTAGCGATTTGTAGACATTATTTATTTATACTTTCTCACTCATTGGCTTGGAATGCTGAGTGTTACGAAGGTCTTTGACCTTGCCGGGCTAAATGCGGTTAAATTAACCATGCAATATCAAGCTGCGTTCGTTCGCTCATTGCCAAAACACCCCCCAAAAACGTCAAGAATATTTGAGAGTTTTCAGGCTTAATAGACCATTACCTTTTATAAAAATAATAACATTATATTGATCAGATTTGTACAAACATTTTTCAAGGTCAAAGCTACTTCACATCACAACAGATTATGAAAACAAAATGAGAGCACGACTTGTCTCCCCTAATATTTTATGGACGTTGCACTCCTACTCAAGATAAATCGATTAGAGTGAGGTTGCTTCCTGTACAAGTTTTCGGGAACCTGCACAGGTTCTGCAACACTAATGAACTATGGCCTAGGGGGAATTTATGATGTAATTGACCAAGGAGGAGGGGGGCGAGAGAGCGAGAGAGAGAGTGAGAGAGAGAGAGAGAGAGAGAGAGAGAGAGAGAGAGAGAGAGAGAGTGAGAGAGAGAGAGAGAGAGAGAGTGAGAGAGAGAGAGAGAGTGAGAGAGAGAGAGAGCGAGAGAGCGAGAGAGCGAGAGAGCGAGAGAGAGAGTACGGGAATGTGACAGTTTAAAACCAGATGGTACCGTATTAAAAACACGATATAGATCTAGCTGGAAAGCGAAAAAAGATAGAGAGTAAACTGGAAAGAAAGAAGGATGATGGTAGAAAGACAGGAAGTGCGACGGGGTGTGTGGAAGAGACAGAGAGATAGAGGAATTCGTTTGACGTGCCAGTCCTTCATTTGCCCTGTCTGACTCAACGCACATTTTTTCACAAACAACAAGGTAGCATTACTTACCACGAAAATAACGAGGCCATTTCCAAGAGCACCGAATGTTATGAAGATTGAATAGAAGAGGACTAGGACTGTCTCTGTTACTCGATCAAAATGACGCTCGTGAATATCTTGTGTCAGAATAAATCGCAACTGGTCTTTAGTCAGGCTGCTGTTGCTGCTGTTACTAGTAAATTCTGCCCACATAGATGACAAGTTCACCGTAAGATCCACCATGATGGCGAGCAGGGTTTGCTTGCTCCTTTACTGTTGCTCGGATTTCTAATTTGGCCTTGGAGACATCGTGCACTGATAGATGCTTCGTTTATTTTGGAGCTGAGAATTCGATTTCACAACTGACATCATTTTCCACGTCTCAACGGCCGCATTTGCCTCATTGGTTAACGTACTGTAAACCTGTGGTCAATTTTTCTCAGGTCTAAATGAGTACCTTTAAACTCGTTGTTTTAAAGATGGGACTGGCTGCAACGTGTAGCGTAATGACGTCATTTAAGGCTTTCGTCCAATCTTGTTTAGAATACCTGGAAATAAAAAGAAAAAATAGAAAACAACATTATAATAAGTTTTAAAGATGGGACTGCCTGCAACGTGTAGCGTAATGACGTCATTTAAGGCTTTCGTCCAATCTTGTTTAGAATACCTGGAAATAACACGGAAAGACAGAAAACAATGTAATAATAACTTCTGTAAAGATGGATTCTGTCCTTCAAACGTTTTAAAGGTTTAAATCTTACTACAGGTCAAAATGCAGCAATGAACACAGAAGGCTTTATGAGAAGCGATTTTGATCATAAATGTCTCTACATTTTCCTTTGAAAAGTTGTTAACGTCAGGTTTTGTTCTCCATCTAATTACTGCAAGCTCAGTCACACAACAAGGTGGCTAGAATGAAGTTGGTCCAGTCGACTTTCGCAAACAGCTCTTCCCCCGCCCCCGCCCCCCCCCCCCCCCCCCCTTAATCTTTCGGGGAATATCATCCGCTCCACTTACTTGCATATAAAGGCGGTTAGATCTTTTGAAAAATCGTTAATACACCGGATGGCGGTACCGGAGGACATCACTTAGTCTTGAACTAGGCTGGTGGGGCAGTTTTGATTTTTATAGAATGAATTTGGAGGTTAAAAAAAGACGGATATATTTTTAAAAAAGTTATAGCTTCTTAGTTGATTCCCCTTGATACTTCTACCAGTGCCTAATCGTCTACCTGCCTAATAAATGGCTACATTTTTTCATATAAGTGTTGTGTGGCAGGTGCATGTCAGAAAAACTGATTCATCCTTAACCGGGTTTTTGTTTTTCCTCTTTTCATTGTTTTATTCCTTTCAGGCAAGGTCTGACTACCCTCATACTAAATGAAATCAATAATGATATCTTGATTAGTAACAGGACAAGTGGCTAATGCTGATCTATTTGTTCATAAACAAGTCAAAGGAATGCTTTCAGCGTAAGACAAAAGTGGAACGAGATACTGACACAGTTCATCATCGTCCCCACCCTCATCCTGTTCCTCCTCCTCCTCCTCCTCCTCCTCCTCCTCCTCTTCATCATCATCATCATCATCATCATCATCATCATCATCATCATCATCATCATCAGCAGCAGCAGCAGCAGCAGCAGCAGCAGCAGCAGCAGCAGCAGCAGCAGCAGCAGCAGCAGCAGCAGCAGTACTAGTAACATCTTCGTCGTTGTTTTCATTCACAATTGTTACGTGTCTCACTAGCCACAGACTCATGTCTAAATAACAAGTAGATTCTTCCGTTGTTGTGAAGATTTTTTTAATGTTCTTATCTCTGTTTACCTATTTCCGACACCCGAAAGAAAACCAATTCGGGATTTAAAAAAAAATCCCCAATCAAGGACATCATATAGATCGCCTTGTCAAAGCGGATGTTTCCGAACAGATTATGCGAAGCGAAAAATGGAAAAGAAGATACCTATAATCAATCTGCTAACTCCTCACTCTTCCCATTCTCTTTTTCAATTTTTACCCCATTTCACAGAAGAGCTGAGGAATCATTTCGAGCTCACAAGGTTATGATGTGACGAATTGTCATGTCAGTGCGCATGTGCCTCCATACGTCATCGTTATTTCAAAGGGCGCAACGAGGTGCTCTGTGATTTATAAAGACAGTTTTTGTCTGCCATACACGTGTGCAAAGAACCGGAGAAATAACAATGGTATTTAAAATATTAAATAGAAACAGTCAATGAGGAAAGTTAGCACGCCTTCTTTCCCCAGCTCTCTTCCGGATGCATTTGAAACAAAAGTAACAGAAAACACATCTTGAAATATAAAATACTTCTACTAATTACTAGTCTAGACTGTATATACTTTGATATTCATTGGTTCACACCTTGGAGTTGGTAAGCGTTTTAGACTTCAGTCTAATAAGATCATAAGATGGGATACAAAGGCAGTAACACGAAACGAACATGAGCTTTAAGACACATACAATTCCACGCTTATTTGGGTAAAACACGAATCAAATACCCTTTTTACACAATTGTTAAAGTATTGTCTGGAAGACCGTTTTGAAATTGAAATCTACATTGTAAATCAGTGTAGACAAAATAAAACCGTTCATGCCAGCTTCAAATAACAACAAAAGCAGACCACACCGCCTGTCTTTAAATTTCTACCAAAGCTGAGCACCCAACGAGACACTTTAGGGGAATATCGAGAGCGAAGCACTTCGGCTGGAACGAACGATTCTGGGTGGTTCGAGAAAATGATTCATTCCCTAAAGAGACTGAACCCCTTCACTTCATTGAACAAGTCTGCCACCACTCGTGGCTCAACGGCTTGTTTGAGGAAATACTAGAAGAAAAACACTTTCAAAAGAGAGGAAACCACAACCTCCGAACTCCTCCAAGCATAAAGGTTAGTGAGTCAACGTAGTAAGTTAAACGTGTCGTTTTTCCTTTTAAAAAAGTCAAATACATCAATGATTCATTTAATAGATAGCATTTCTATAGCGCAGATTCCTGCTCAGCAGCAAGCTCTACACACTTTTCAGTCTATTATTACCACCAGCCAACCTAATAGCATTTGGAAACAATCTGTCATGAGAAGCATACAGTGCAAGCTTCCATTCTATAGACTGTACAACACGAATGTATTGACAAAATCTTTCACTGTTCTTAATCGGGTACCCATTCCCACCTGGGTGAGTGAGGAAAATTCGTGTAAAGTGCCTTTCCCAAGGACACCATGTCGGGCCTGAGGCTCGAACCTCGGAAACCGTAACCGCACGATACGAGTCGCGTAGCCTAATCAGCAGACTATCCACACCACATTTACACAATAAAAGACCAGAAAAATTAACCCTCTCAACCTCGAAAATTAAAAATCATGTTATCTATGTCATTGGCCTTACAGAGTGCTCATACTTTGCTTTGATTACCACCCCCCCCCCCTAAATAAAGAAATGAAAACACAAACCCCCCCCAAAAAAAAATCCTGTTCGTGCCTCCCCATGTCACTGTGTCTTGCTTCCCTCTGTTCATGCATGTAAGATTCGTGAGGGGACTGTCCACGTTCTCCGTCACAATTAAAAAGAAGGCGATTGAAGTAATTGTCTGATTATATCTTATCAGTGTGGCACTTTGTCATTTCTCTTTGGAAGATTATATCGATCTAGCTGTCAGCAGGATCTCTTTTCAGACAGACTAATAGAATTTTGTCATTTAAAAAATACGTATACGTATTGCTAAGGCGCTTGTGCAGTGTAGAAGAAATACTTAAAGTGATTAAGGCTCTTGGAAAAAATAACATGCTAACCATTATTCAAATAGAGAGCGTGGGAGGGTGTTGCAATAAAGAATGCTGACGAGAAGCATAAAGAAGAACAGACGAACGGGCACCATTGAATAAACATAACGCAGAGAAATGGATCTGTTCCTGCGGAAGTGTCGTATACCATTAAACACCGCTACAGCCAACTTTGGGGTTTAAAAACAAAACAAAAAACACACCACAACAAAGCAACAACAACAAAATATAAAAAAGGGCCAAAGGCAGAACAAAACAAACAGCAGCGCTGCATTAAAAAGAATCAAAACAATAATCACCACCCACTTACCAGACTCAAACTTCGCCGCCTGGAAATGGAGACTCATTGAACTACACACGAAATATTCTGATTTTTTAAAAAGTTTTAATATCCACCGCATTTGCTCCGTGGTTCAGACCTGCTCTGCTATTTGCAAGGCAGATCACTTGAACCTTTTTGAAACCTTTCGGACGAACGGGCGAGAACTCCCTTATTGACGACCTGAGCGGGAAATGTAGAGTCTGGGGGGCAAGAAAATGTCTTGGACCTCTCATTGAAAAATGGCAACCCCAGTCCACTCCTTGATTCTTTCTCGCTTTTGCAGCAGCAGCAGTAGAGAGGGAGAGAGAGAGATAGAGAGAGAGAGAGAGAGAGAGAGAGAGAGAGAGAGAGAGGGGGGGGGAGGGAGGGAGGGAGGGAGAGAGAGAGAGAGAGCGAGAGAGAGGGAGAGAGAGAGGGAGAGAGAGAGGGAGAGAGAGAGAGGGAGGGAGAGAGAGACAGAGGGAGAGAGAGAGAGGGAGAGGGAGAGGGAGAGAGAGAGAGAGAGAGAGAGAGAGAGAGAGAGAGAGAGAGAGAGAGAGAGAGAGAGAGAGAGAGAGAGAAAGGGACGGGTTCCGGGTAGATGGTGGACCCTTGATGAAAGTCTCCTGTATTCCCAACACGTGCGGGGATTTCACTTGGCTAGACATCCATGCGGACCTTCCCCTGACCCGCGCCTCCGAAGGAGGTGGGAGAGGTCCGGTCCCATTGGATGTAACCTTGTATAAGTGGTAAAAGTGAACGCCTGGAAATTCGAAAGTGTAAAAATGGGGATAATATGACAAGAACTTAAAAAAAAAGAAAGTGGACTTAAGACTACCACAGGAAGCTGCATCCTATTGCTGAGTTTAAAAGTCCCTCGCCCACGTTTAGACACCAAGAAGGCAGGACAAATTGGCGGAAGAAATCGAAATCCAATTGTAGCTCCCTATAACGGCATGAACGAACTTCTGGGAGAATTTAGTGGAATGAAAATTTGACTTGTAAAGTGGGCGAAGAATGGAGGAAAGAGAGGGCAGGGGTAGGGGGCCAAGCCCGGCGGCTCAACACGTTCGGCGCCATTCAAATGGGAGAATTTTTCCAGGGTGAAGGAGGATTTGAGAGTATCAAGATTTTGCTTTGATTACAGCACCGCCAACCCATTAAATGAAACTTATTTTTGAAACTGAAACTTCTTTATTGTGGTGTTTTTCTATTTTTAAATTACTTTATTGGCGTTATTCCTTACTTCTTTCCTTCTAAAATATTCATACAATATATCATTATTAGGAATGGGACTATGCTCAAGATAAATCCTTACTGTTGCAGATAGAATCATGTTTTTGTGCTTTTTCTTTTCATTATACAAGCTTTTTATTTAAATTATTAGCCCGATCCTGGGAAGAGAGACTCAAAACTCTATGAGGGCCTGGAGGACTTCCGCAAAC